TGGGCAAGCCCAAAAACAAGACGATCAAACCTTAAGCCTAACTCCTGCAAGCCCCACAAGCCCTGAAGACAAGAAGATCAAATCTTAAGCCTAAATACTGCAAACCCTAAGCCCTGAAGACTCCAATTCCCAATCCTACACTGTATAACTTAACTAGGATGCCCGGTAACCTAGGAATGAAAAGGGCTCCCTTTTTGGTATTGGGTAACTTTATAGGGAACCTAGGACTACACAAAGGGAATAAGGGTACTACTGGGCATCCAAGGAGAAGATCAACTAGAGTTTTACAGACCCCCCCAAAAGGTTAACGGCTACCCACTCAGCTACTAAGCTACTTGGAGGATCATGGGACTTAGTAAGTAAGGTTATAAGTACCCTAATTGGGGTTATAAGTATAGTTACCCTAGTTATAACCCTAGTTACTAAGTCCCATGATCCTTTTAGTAGACCCTAAACCCTAAACCCTATAGATCCCTTTAAGGAACCCTATAGATCTCTTTAAGGAGCCCTTTAGGGAACCCTAGTTACTAAGTCCCATGATCCTTTAAGTATAAGCCCGAAGGCCCCCAAAATGCTTAAAGCTGGTGCCTTACTGGCCATACGCTCCATCGCGCGGCAGCGCGCAGCATCAAGTGACGCCCAGCGACGCAGTAGCCTGAAAGCTAGGGCTGTTCCCCAAAGGCTCCATGTAGCCATATAGTAGGTACTTAGCCCTTAAAGTACCTATATAGGGACCCCTTTAAGGCCTAAGTACCCAGAGAGCCCAATACTCTTTAATTAAGGAATATGGCTTAAATCATAATATGAAGCCCTATATAATTTAAGCCATATTCCTTAATTAAGGGGTATTGGGCTCTCTGGGTACCTACTATATGGGCACATGGAGCCTTTGGGTTCTCAATGAGAGGTCCAGAACCTAGAGATCCCCCAATCGAAAGCCCCCAAAGTAGGCTCCTTAAGGGAACCCTGAGGGTCCATGTACCCAAATAGGCATCCTTTAAGGCTTCCTTTAGGTCTTCCTTTTTAGGCTTCCTTTTAAGGGTTCCTATTAAGGGTTCTATACTAGGGTTTAGGGTTTAAGGGTCCATGTACCGAAATAGTACATACATTGGCCTTAAAGTCGTCCCTATATAGGTACATTGGGGCCAATGTATATACTATTTGGGTACATGGACCCTTAGGGGAAATGTCGTGGAGTAAGGTACCCCGACTTTGCCGAACCCCCTTCAACTACAAAGCAAGCTCTGCTTCGCAAGGTTCTGTCAAGGTTTCAGCAGCAGTTTCAAGAAGCCAAGGTTCCCTTCGAAAAGCTCAGGTTCAGGGTTGAAGGTCTAGATTTTGTCTTGTCGGTTCTGCTTCTAATGGCATCTGAAACTAGTTAGAGGAAACAAAGGTTGGGTGCAGTACGCCGGCAGCAGCTTCAGAGACCCAATGTAAGGGCTTCATGAATCAGAACCAGAATGCACGAGTTGAGAGTGTGTGAAGCCCTATACCCTAAACCCTAAACCTATATACCCAAAAACACCAAACCTAAATAAAAACTCCCTAAACCCCAAACCTATACACCCAAACCCCAAAAAGTCCTATACCGTCTATACCCCAAACCCCTGGTTCAGCTGCAGGATTTTGAAAGTGAAGGGGTCAAAAGGGCAGTCTTCTCTCTGCAACTCAATGGGTTTAGGGCGTAGGGAAGGTTTAGGTTTAGGGTTTATGGTTTACACTTTTAATAAATGGCTTTGGGCCTAGAACTAGGACTTCAGAGGCATGTTGACATTCACGTTTGCACATGGACCGTACCTGTACCTAAACCCCGATCCCCAACCCACCCACGAAACCCTATACATTGGCTAGCGCCCCCCCACTAAGGGTTAGATGTTGTCTTATTACACTAATATCTAACTGTTACAGAGTGGGTGCAGTACCTAGCCAAAAGAGTTTAAAGCCTCAACGGAATGTGCTTTCGGACGGTTTCAGGTTTTAGGGCTCAGGGCTTATAGCGTCCAATCTGTCGGGTCAGCACCCCAACTTAAAAGCCACAGTTAGAGAAACTACATATACACTGAACATTGGCAGGGGCTGGTTCCAATAACCCTAAACCCTAAACGCTATAATCAACATGGAATGCCTGATGAACCTGGGAGAGTCTGGCCGGAAACCAAAGGGTTTGGCTTCTAGTCGAAATGCTGAGGGCGCGAATCAGAAGTGTCAGGTTGGAGTCTAAACTGGGTTCATGAGTGACCCATGTGGAAAAGTCTGCTCTTTTTTGCTGATGTTGGAGATTGCAGCTACTAGATGGTATGTGGTGCGCAAGCCGTTTTTTAGTTTTCCGCATGGGCTGCTTCTGAGCTTCTTTGTGAAGCTTATTGTGTAAGGCCTAGGGTCTGGTGATGTCTGGTGTCTTCTTAGGTGGGGTTCACGCAAGTCTTCATTTCTTGGACACGACAAACACTGGGCACAACTCCCTACCCAGTCTGACTTGTGCCAGCAGGCTGCACTCGTACGGCACGGATCATTGACTGGACGCATTGCTGAAGACAGCTAGAAAGGGCAGAGGCCAGCTGGAAGGGCGCAGAGACTGTATTCTGCCAGAGCAACCGCCCTCAACAACCGACAGCGGTGGCAAAGAACTCTGTCTTGTGCTGGGGGCACCTCAACCCTGCGGTCGACGCTGCTCCATCGAAAAGCAAACGCGTCAACAATGCACGTTATCTCCTGCTGAGGGTAATTATCCCGAACACCCCCGCAACCGACGCCGGCGGCAGAATAGGATACCCAACCCCCCTCTACAGCCGACGGAAAAAGGGCCGCCATCCACCTTTTTAAGGAGTGTCACAGGAGACTGCTAGGCATGTCGAACCGTATGGCATGAAACCTCTCCTAAAGCACAAACCCTATAACCCGAACCGCACCTAAACTGTATACCATGGAAATCCCAACAAACTCTTATCCCCTCAAGCCTAAACCCCTAAACCCTTCTTAGACCCCCCCAACTACCCTGTAATAGAGCCTAAATGCCCACTGTTAAGGACCATAAGGGCTCCATTGAAGGGCCATTGGGGGGTCCTGGTTAAACCCGCAACCTAAATCCTAAACCCTCAAACCTTAACTCTCAACCCGAAAACCCCAACCCCCAAACCGCTAAACCCCTGACCTCAACCCTTACCTGGACCCCAAAGGTATCTGCAATTTTTAGCCTTTTATAGGCTTTGGGCCATTATTTTTCTAATTTTGGGGGTCTAGGTAACCTCTAAACCCCTATAAATCCCTTAAAGGAAACCCTATAGTACCCTTTAAAAAAAAACCATTCCGAGGCAGCGCCTTCGTACTGCGCGCTCGGGTCGAGTGAACTCTGGCTGCCGCTTGGCCCTGTTGAGGGATTTAGGGTTTAGGGGTTTAGGGGTTTAGGAGTTTAGAGTTTGGAGGTTTGGAGGTTTAGGGTTTAGGAGTTTAGAGGTTTGGGGATTTATGGATTAGGGGTTTAGGGATTACGGGTTTGGGGTTGAGGGGTTTAGGGATTACGGGTTTGGGGTTTAGGGGTTAGGGGTTTAGGGTTTAGGAGTTTAGAGTTTGGAGGTTTAGGGTTCAGGACTTAGGGTTTAGGAGTTTAGAGTTTGGAGGTTTGGGGGTTTAGGGGTTTAGAGGTTTTCGGGTTTTGGGGTTTAGGGGCTTTGGTTTTACGGGTTTAGGGGTTTAGGTTTGCGGATGTAAGGGTCTAGGGGATCAGAGTTTAGGGTTTAGGGTTTAGGGGTTTAGGGTTTAGGGTTTATCTAAGGGTCAAACCCTCATTCCTTGAAGCTGTTCGGTTTTTAGCGCCTTTTGCTGATTCGACATGCATTAGCCTGACATGAGACACGGTGCTTTCAAAGTCTTTGAACGTGACTGCAACACCTGTTTCTTTCATGCTCTGCGCAGCGGTCGTGAGATCGATCAAGATGCAGAGGGGTCCGGACTAGACTGCTATTTTCAATTGAATATTCGCACTGCACATGAGCGGTTAGCTACATTCTCATATCTGCCTATGTCTGCCGGGGCCGTTTGGCCGGGCGATCGGCGCTGCCCCGTTGCAGCTGATCTTGATCCTCTTTGCTCAGCGTGGCAAACCATTGCCACAGCCAGGCCTGTACACAGAGTTCTGCATCCCGCTTTGTTCGTCTAGTCCCTCTCTGAGAGACGAAGCCGGCATCCTGATAGCAAACACATCGGGACTTCTTGTTTTGATACTTGTAGCCCTGGGGTAGATACCCCTGCACAAAGGGTGAGCTTGTACTCGGGAATCCAAGATATGCAGTGCAGCCTGCGGGCAGCTCCATGTCCGGCCTGCTACGGTCGACCGGCGACGCATGCGGCATATCCTGAGATGAGAGCTTCAAGCTGAGGTTCAGCAAAAGCTTCGTTAGCGGCCGTTTCGGGTTTTATGGGTTCCCTCGAGGTGATTGCATCTGAGGTCTACACCTAGTGACCGCCGTTGCCGCTAGTGGTTAGATAAGAGTTCTGGACGTAAAACAGGCTGCGAGTGTGAATATTGTTGCCAAAGCCACGACATCCGCCCTTGGGCCAGCTGCAGCCGCTGCGGCTGCTCGTTCCCCTGCCTCGGCTTTTCGGCAGCTGGCTTTGCAGGCGGGGCGGTTTCCGCTGCATCATTTGCATCTTCTTCGCCCGAATCTTCATGCACGTTTTGTCCCAAATCCAGGTCTTCTTCGTCGTCGGTCTGCCCTTCCAATCTTTCCTCCTCATCTTGTCTGTGGTCCTCTCTCATTTAGGCAAGGAGAATTAGAAAACGGATGGGCTTGAACTGCTAGCATTCCGCCACGTTTCATTACAAATTACAGTTGGGCTTGTTGATGTCGATAGGTGTCACAACAACTGACAACAGCACTTAGACGGTTCTTTGAACAGCAGGGCGAAGTTAAGTACATCTTACGAAGCAGAGCTACTGGAAGAGATAGCAGTCGGTACCGTGTAAGGGGGGAGGTCCAGTCGCTACGACGGTTGGGATTCATCTAGGGTGTCTCCTCCTTGCGTTTTTTCGGTTCGTGTTCGGGAAGCTCGTCCAAAACTTCTTGGATCCTTTGTGCATCAACTTGCATCTCTTTCAAGAACAACTCGACTCGCTTCTTGTGGTTCAGTTTGCCATGCCCTCGGAGCTTCATGAAAGAGCAAATGGAAGTCAAAATCCCTGCCGGGGTCTCGAGGATGGCATGGTGGGCGACGTAATAAGTGAGCGACATCCAGTCCGTAGCATGCACCCATGCCAGTGTCGAGTCGGGCATCAAAGCGGGCCTGGTCAAGGCCACCTCCACCCCGTCCAAAGGTCCCACCAGCGTCTCGTCTCTCGAGAAGTGTTTGAGATCTGCAGCGAAAGCAGGCGGGTCTGTGCCTTCCAGGAGCTGCAGGGGAAGGAGTCTGAGCGCAAAAGGGCCTGCAGAGAGCACGAGGGCTCTCTTCACCTCATCTGGTTCGCTTTTCCATTGCACGAATGCGTGCAGTGGAATGACCTTGCTCGTCCATGTCTCTTTGCACTTCAGCAGCAGTTTGTCGTGCTTGTCTTCCGAACTGCCTTGGAGTCGCTGCCATTCGTTCTTGAGGACTTTGAGGAGTCTCAAGCGCTGGCAAAAGACATGTGGTTTTGTGTAGCAGTGATTGACACGGTGTCGTGTCAGGCCTTCGCATGACACTCCCAACTCTTTGTCTGTTGCTCGCAGGGCACTGTGGACTCTGGCTTTCACTGTTTGCCCCTTGAAGTCGGCAGCCCAGTCGCTGTCGTCCAAAGGGATCGTAGCGGAACCACCGCTTCTTGTCTCTGCCGACTTGATTGCGACAGCATGAAGATTGGCACCATTGGCCCGCTCTGCTTTGCAGTGTCTTTTGGATGCATCCCTCAAATCGTTGAATGCTAGCTCGCTTGCCAACGATGTCAACATTGGACTGCTCTCCTGCGAGGTGAGGCCCGCCATTGCTTCTGCGGTTTTCCTGAACGGGAGACTGCACTTCTCGGCCAGCCGAGCGGCATCGAAGTCAAAGAACCTGGGCTTGGATTATCACTTCACCTGGATGTTCGTCTACTTTATGACAGTGGCTTACATGCGTGTAAAAACACGACGTGAGTGTCTACGTAGATACAGATATAGATACACACACACATACATATGCATCTCTCTCTGTGTTGTTGTTAAAAGCATGTGCACAGATACGTATATACTGTTTATATGTGTATGGATATCTGTGTGCACTCGGTCTGAACAAGACACCATGAAAAAGTTGCCATGGTCTTAGAAGCGGCTCGGCTTTGATAAAAGCATCTCGGTAAAACTGGTACCGTGTGTGCTGCAACATCTTGTGCAAGACGTGGGTGGCTTTAAGACAATCCACGAAGCCTACCACGAAGCCCCACTCCTGCCTCATGTCGTCCATCGTCTCGAAGCGGAGCGGGTCTGACAGGATACAAATGATCCTCCACGGGAAGCTATGGCAGCTATGGTGGTAGTCATCGATCTCGGCGATGCTGGAGATGGCATTCAAGAAAAGGTCTGCGTGGAATCGCAGGGTCTCCTCGTCGTCGTGGGTGCCGATGTAGGCCAAATGCTCTGGACTGGTAGCATCTTTGAAGGTTTTCCTGCAATTGCCAAGAAACGGGGCAGGACATGGTTAAACGACCACTGCCATTGCAGCTGGAGTCACATGAGCAACTTGCGAACCTTTCGCCCGGATGCCAGCGCGATGGCCATTCGAAGGGATGCAGTCTTGTCGGACTGGCATTCGTGCGACTTAGCTGGTTGACGAATGAGCAGAGCTGACAGACTCAGACGAGGCAGGCGTCCAAAACGTGTTTAGATTTGAAGGCGAGTTTCAGACTGGGACACATATTCGCGAAGTCCACGGAAAACACAAAGGAGGCTTCGAAGTTTGTCCTGGTTTGTGTCGTCTGCAAGTACCTCGGGCTTGCATGCCACGGTGGTGAGTTCAGATGTTCAGACCGCAGCAAACAAACAACCATTGCTAAGTCCTGACAATGACCTAACTTGCTGCTCAGGTGCGTTCCACGCAAAGGCTCGCACAGACTGGGCATGATCGCTGGTTGTTTCTGACGGCGCCTGCAATGTCCACGGGCTTCTGCCCTCGCGCCAGAAGGACCATGAGTGCAGGAGAGCTTGTGAGTGCCAAACCTGGTCCCACTGAACTCCAAAATCCCAGAAGCTGAACCAGCGGGAGTCTTTTGCTGCATTGCCCTGGACATGGAGTCGTCCTGGGGAGTCAAGTATATTCGAAACCATGGGCGAAAAGCCGGCAACCTGAGTGAACTTGAGCAACGGCCTAACAAGCTGCTAAGTTTGCTAAGCGTGAACATGGCCGAGCACTGCACTGTCCTTTGTGTTCTCGAAGGACAGCTGCGGCATCGCTGTGGTCGAAAGCTTGAGATTTGCCACGGGAGGCCTTGAAAGGGCTTTCCTGATCGCGGCCCATCCCACAAAGCCAGGGCTCCACGATGGTATGCTGGGGATCGTTGGAAAGAACTCGTATCAAGGAATCCCTGGCTTCAGATATCAATTTCCCAAACTTGCTGGTACCATAGGGGCCACGACTGTACCTGAACAGCTTCATGAAGGCTCGCAAGAGGTCCGAGGCACCGTCGGTCATGCGGATTGCCTGGGTGCACTTCCTCGCGCACTTGTGGAATGGGTCTGCCCAGAAGCAAGCCCATAGATCTTGACTGCACATGTGCTGGAAAACAATGAAGCCCTGGCGGGTTGAAAGATATTCGCAAATGCGAGGCGGACATGGCACTTCTACCGGCCCGCCTCCGTGCCTTCGTCTGCCGCGAAGGTGAGGTGGTAGAAGCCCTCATGCTTGTAGAAGTCGCACACAGATTCGGCGTCTTCGAAGCTGTGAACGAAATACCTTGCGCCGTGCTCTGGATTAAGCCCGTGCACCGCCTTCTCCTTCTCAGTGAAGCGCAGTCGTTCGCTGTTGGGCCCTCGAGGCCTCAGGAGATTCGCGGGCTTGCAGCTCAACAGTGTCCAGTTTTCTGGGAGGCTCTGCTGCAAGCTATTTGCCATGGCAGATAAGAGCATCTTCGTCGGTGTTCGGAATTCCTTCCAAGCAAAGTGCAACTTCTTGTCCTTGCCCACATCGGCCTTTGCAGTGGGGGGCAGGCTACCATCCATGGCCTTGGCCATACTGGCAGCCGCCGCCTCAGTTTCTTCCTCGTTGAGGGAAGTCGCGTTGAGGAGCTGGGTGGCCCCGGAGAAGTGCTTGCCTCCCATTCGGAAGATCAGCGACAGCACCTTCATGACTGGCTGCCGCTTTGGGAGGGTACGGGTACTTAAAAATGTGAAGCAGGTGCTGCAGTCAAGCTGCTTGTTCGTGAGAGATGGAGGCAGCGTCCATACAGAAGTTCACCACTTTCGTGTCTTCCTGTTTGTCCAGCACTTGTTGGATGTGCTTCTCGGCTTTGCTGAGGGCACGAACACAGAACTCGCCTGCAGTCTTGGAGGCCAGGGCCGTTCGGTGATTGCAGATTCCCAGGTCTGAAAGCCGGGCTTCCGACTTCATGGATATGAAGCCTCCTCCCCGGGACATAAACCGCGAAACGACACTCAGCTGAAGAGCTTTATTGCCCTTGAGGCGGCTGCTCTTCGTAAAGGGGTGCCACCGTGCTCCAACCTGCGGGCACGGGCATTCATCGACGAGCGCTTTCTCCAGCGCCTCCTCCGCCCGCTGGCTGAAGAAGTGCAGGGTTCTCTTGACAGCCCGCCGAAAAGTCAGCTGGCCCCAAAAGGCGTGATCACCCTTCAGCCTGAAGAAACAGACGAGCAGGGCACTGAGTGGGAGCCTGTCCACGAAGTTTCCTGGCATCTTCTTGGCCAACCTTCAAGGATGGATGACGAGTGGAGTTTAGGTTTCGAAACATGAGCCAGCACTACAGACAATTCAAAGGTGTCTGTCATCGCACACGAGGCAGGAAAGGAAAGTATATGCACAAAATACATGTGACAATGTACTGCTACTGCCTGCTCCAACTGAGCTCCAACTCCTTCAGAACTGACTTCAAGGCGCTCAAGCGGACGTGGTTTTCGCAAACCTCCAGAGCATAGGCTTCTTCTCCGGGGATGAGATAAAGCTTTTTATTGATCTGCATGCATTCTTCCATTGTCTGCAGTGTTTTGTAGCACTCGGAGACAGCATCGCCAGACAAAGTAGACGACGGAAGAATAGATCCCAACACCAAGATCATCCCAGGAATCGTAGTTGCATCGACAGGCATTGAACTCACGGAGTCCACGGCGCCCTTGTACGAGGGACGGCGAGCGACCTGCCAGAACTGCCTTTTTCAAGGCCAGCAAGTTAGGGCCACAGGTTGTTGCTGCATCACACACAGAAGCAGCAGTGGAGACAGAGGCAGCAACGGATGCATGGAGTTTGGGGGAGCTGTTTTGTTGACTTCTGATGTTCGTTTTCCTCTGCTGTTCGATGGACAGAAATTCTGGGGTGCTGTTTTAAAGTTTTGGTGCGTCCTGAAGCTGTTTTTCGCTTGGGGTGACTTCTGCTGTTCGTCGTCCTTTACTGCTATCCTCTGCTGCTCGATGGTGTGGTGGGGAGGAGGAGGAGGAATCAGAGAGCATACGTGAGGCCTTTCATGATCATGGGGTAGCGGCTCCTGTTATTGCACCGCCGAGCAGTGCCGCTGATGCTCATGATGCGTCTGTGTGGTCCGCCCCAAAGACGGCTGATGCTCATGATGCCCGTTTCCGGGGCTTCCCGGTTTGGGGCCCTCCAAACCGGGAGGATGCTCATGATGGTGTGACCTGCACGGTTTCAGGGTTTGCGAGACGTGAAGATGTGCACTTACACAAGCAGGCCAATCCATAATGCACATGACCAAGAAGACAGCAATGGTTTGTCTGCATGACACTCTGCCATCGGTGGGACGAGCACTGAGTGCACTGCGTGCTGATGGGTGCTGATATCCATTTGTGCAGCAAGTGGCTGGTAGACCGAAGTGTAGTTCTTCGTGAACCACTGTGTAAATGCTGTCTTCAGTGTCCACCATTCAGACACTGCGTAAAAATTTGCATATCCGTCTGCTCGTGCGTCTTCGGAGAGCACCTGGCGCAACGAGCACAGAATCACAAAGGCTCGACTTCATGGCAGTACTCGTGACAACCAGGCCTGCAGGCTTGTCCATACTCCACGTTTGTGCTGCAAAAACTTGTATGTGTGGGCTGGGGCACACTCCTCAGCCTCGCTCTTCAAAACCGGGACGTGCTTGTCAGCAGGACTCCCTACATCACAAGCCGGAGCCAGGGCAACTGTGTGTAGGGTGGGCAAGGGTGCCCACGGCAAGTCTGGCCCATGAATTCGGATAATTTCTGTAAGGCTTTTACCAAAGCTTTGCAACTTGGCCAGGATTTCGTCTCCTGAACCTTTGAGCAGCTGGATATTCCGCCAGCCGTCGGCAACAAAGTCCCGCACAGCGCCCAAAGCCTGCCTAGCAGGCAGGCCCTCTGTCGTCGGCACCTTCATGAGCATCCCATGCAGCTTCTGCGTCCACTCCTGCCAGTGCTCGTGTCTTAGCATATGGAAACATCCGTTGACCCCTGGACACCCTTCCCGCCTCCTGATCTTTCGCTCCAGCGGCACACTCGGCCATGTCGGGCGAGACAGCGAATCCGCATCCGCTGTGGTGCTAAAGAACGATTTTGGCTGTCCATGTGCAAGTAAGCAATTCCTGCTGTAAAAATCCTCACATACCCATTCTCTTCAGAATCCTTCTTTACGTCTTTTTTCGCAAGAAACGTTTTTGGGGGCATGGGGGCACCCCAAAACCCCAGATCGTTTGGGCTGGTGAGAACGTATGTATCTGGTGAGAACGATTGTTTGCTGTCGAGTGCGCGTGAGAAGGTTGCTAGCTGGTGAGAACGATTGTGGCTTGAGAGAACGATGTTGCTTCCCAATGCGTTCCACCTATGGACTCACATGGCCTGAAAGCTCGGAGCGGTCAGATTCACACGTGCATACACACACAGCAACAAGTTCATAGCCTCACAGACCCAGCAAGAGGAATGCAGCATCTGCGAAGAGAAGTCTCAGCACAAGCTTCCCTCGCACTGGACCTGAGGTTCATTTGAACGGACACCGGGCAGTTTTGGGTCGCCGCATCGCTGTGACTAACCTTGTCGTTTTGTCGCCGAAGGAACATCCGGGATGCTCTTCTCTAAGTACTATAAGGTATTGGCCGTCTATAACAGGTGCCACCCTGCCAAGTGTCTACAAATTGAGAGACAAGGCCTATGGGTTTGCAGCGCGGGCTCAGGGGCCCACATGGAAAACCCAGCATCGGAGTTGGTACAGTCGATCTGCAATGGGGCGGAAACACTCGCCAAACTGGCCCAGTCTGTGGTCCCACTCCTTCTGTCGAGCCTCTAAGACTTGCACTCGGTTCTCCAAACTCCAAATATGGTCCGAGAAAAGCAAGAAAGTATCAGAGTCCGAGGACGACGAGTCTCGGGTCTGGGCTCGTGGTCGTTGCAGCTCCGGCTCGGACATCATGGCAGGGAGCCTTCACTAAGCCTGGTGACTATATGGGCTTGACGAATACCCGAGCGGAACACTGGAGCCCATGAAACTATACGGTGAAAAACTCGCTCTACAAGCTCATCTCGGGGTGCAGAACACAACGAAGCAGCTATCGTCGCAAACTGCTTGCACGACTAAAAGGCTCACTCAGTCCAGGCGCACACTCGCAATTTTGAGCACCTTTCGGCAGAAATGCTGACACTGGCAACCCCGCTGCCGTGAGACTTCAGATGTGTGTGAAGTCGGGTCACACTGAAAGATGACACGTGTATGCGTAGCACACAACACCGACTCTGGGAAAGCGAAGAACGACCACTGCTGGCCAACTTTCTCACTCGCCCCCAGAGGACAACTCGCCCAGGCCCTCAACCAGGCCCACCTTGGAATGCTTTGCATCGGTTCCGGTCGGGGCCCCGTTATCGGTATCGCATGGTTTGTCCTTCTTCCCATCCTCGCCATCGATTCGTTTCCCGACACCATCGAGATCAGGCATCAACGAGCGGTGCACCGTCTGAGCTGCACGTTGCACGAAGGTGTCCTATCGAGGAACCAAGCAGTGAACACCGACAGAGGTTCCTGGCAAACCAAAACCACTCCCAATTCGCAGAAACACCGCATGTTAGACTACAAGAGCCCGCAGTCCAGATTTGCCAGCATGTCTTTGACAAGGCGGCGAGCAGACTGACGTCCAACCCACGACATGTTGCCCAGCATGGCCTTGGACTCCTCCCCCACCATGTCCTGCACAGGCACGTATCCATCCTTCACTGCTTGCAGCAGTTCGCGGATGCTCGCCTTAGCTGCACTGCAGGAGTGAGCCTGAAGCCGACAAGACGAAGCCAAGCAAACAGACATTTACCCAATAAATGGAGGAGGTCGCAATGCCGTCTTTCTCCAAGACTTGAAGGAACAAGGTCCTATCGGAGGACATGGAGAAGTAGGTCTTCAACTCCGAGTCCAAGTACTGCTCGACGGAGTTGGGCATATCGTCCGCGATCTTGTCGATTGCTTTCGACTTAGAGTCTCGTCGCTTGAACCGATCCTGTTGCATATCCGAATCGTTCGTGGCTTCCCAGAAATTGTGCGATGCACTCGACCTAGGACGCCTGGAACTCTGGCGAAGAGAACTGAGAGGACCATCACTGTCGGACTCCTGCAACTGGCACCGTAACATAGCATGCACAGAACGAGAAAGTCACCCATTGAACCCCATTCGGCGTCCTCCTCAACATGACCCCGGCGGCGCTTGGATGTTCCGGATCGCAACTTCGGCGTGGCATTCTCTGAGTCCTCGTCTGATCGCGGCCCCTTGCCGAAAGACTTCGTGGAAGCTCGGCGAAGCAGCTGATGCTTCTCCAACTTGTTCTCAGCGCTCAGCTTCTCCCGAGCTTCCTTCTCCACGGCTCCCAAAGTTTCCATGACCGTCTTGTGCCAGGCAGCTTTCTCGTCGTCGGTGGCATGCTTCTCGATCTCGCTGAGGAAAGACCTCATGGCAGTGGAAATGGCACTTTCCAGAAGACTGGAGCAAGAGAGCTGTCCCAGTCTTCGCGAAGTGAGCCGAGGCGCCTTCTCAAAGAATAGATGCTTCGGTGCTGCGAGATGATGCTCAAGCCCGACATACCGGTGACTCAGATGCAGCTCAAGAGAAGCGACACGGGCTCAGACCAACCCACGCGAAGACAACATATCTAGACACTCAGACAAGGACAAGCCCGCACACACACACACAGACACGAACGAAAACACTGTGTTGACACAAGTACGACACGAAAGCACTGGACGGTTACTTCTAAGTCGTCCTCATGATGCTCGATCGGGGCGGCCTCTGGTTCAATCCAAATTATCTATCATCTCCCTCTGATTCGCCACAATCTCCACTGATGCTCCCCACAATCCGGGCTGATGCGGATAGGGAACTGAGGGCCAGAGTTGTGGTTCCAATCAGGAGCAGATGTGTGAAACCCGACTCCCAACAACCAGCCAAACCTGCAAGAGACATCTGACACCTCCGAAGTGACATCTGACACCCCCCAATAAGCAAGTCTGCACGTGAGGGGAAGCCATGCACAAATAAGATCTGCAACCCGGCGGTAGCCTCCCGCGAGTCTTTCAAAGGATTTCTGAAACCTTCACAGAAGACCCACCACAGAATTTGCCTTTAGCTACCTACACCTCTCATAACGGTTGTAGAGTTACAGTCGGGCCACAAGAACCTCGGAAAGCCTGCATGTTTATTTGCTTCAACATGCACACCACTGCAAACGAGATTCGAGCTTCGATCATTTGCAGGAGCGATTCTCTCCAAGCACGTTCTGCTTGTTGTTCACTTTGCTGCAAGGCAACCCGTAGGTGAAGAGCATCCTCCGTGGTCTCGTTGGGCTTCACTGCTGCACGATCCCGCTTGCGCACCTGCGAGAAAACGGACGACCAGAGAAATGGTAAGCTTCGGCAGCTCAGCAGCAACACAGAACAGACTAACCGGGTAGGGCGAGGTGGAAGACTGTATTATCAGCTATGTACTCTGCAAGGGCAAGCACAGAAGCACCTCATACATCTCGCCTCCGAGCTTGAAAACCCTGTTCTCTGTGAGCTCTGGAACGAGGCGGCACATCGAAACTGCCAGCAGCTGCGGGCTCAGATCTGACAAGCGACCCACCTTGTTCCCTAGCTGCAAAGACTTGGCCTTCCTGAGAGTGTGCAAATGCAACACATGCACGATTGGCATTTGCTGCCCATGAGCATGTATGAAAACATGAAAAAGAGAATTTATGGCCTAGAAGCAAGCCGAAGGTTGCTGCCATGGCAGACACGGTCTGCCGGGTCTCCGACTCCACGGACTCGGAGCTTGAGGACGAGCTTGCACCGCCCTTCTTCTTGTTTTTTTTGGAAGCACGTTTGCTGTCCTTGCGCCTCGACCTGCGATCCTGTTTGCGGCTCCCCATGGCAAGAAAGCAGACACTGAGACAACAAAGTCACCTGCCCGTCAGTCACGGTGACAGAGCTCCAAGCCCAAAACCCTGGCGCAAAGAGAGAGCGACACAGGACAGTCGCAGCAGTGAAAAGCCCACGTGAACAGCTAGCTAGCTTGTCTGGAAAGATGCAGATACTTGATCAGCACAGTTTCCTAAAAACCGGGGAAGCTTTCTGATCAGCAAATGTTTAGAAATAGTAGCCTAGTAACGAGTGTACCTCTTTAGTAAACTTGTGTACAAGCCGGCCACACTGCCCTTGAGGAGCGAGGCTACCTAGAAACAGAAGGGGGTGACTTGATCAGCTCAACCGCCTAACAGAAAGGCGCAAACGATTCAGAAGCAAAGTTGCCAAGAAACCTCAGCAAGCCTGCCCAAAACAAGAAAATCATAACCAAGCCTGTCAAGCAACGGCAAAGCTCTGTAGAAACACGGGGCGATGACTTGACCAGCAGAACATGTAGTTTTAAAGGCAACCACTCGATGAGCAAACTTGCCTGGAAACGGAAACATTACTTGATGAGCAAGGTTGCCTGGAAACAGGGCAAGCTGTCTGTAGCAGTAATATCTAGGAATAGTGTCAGTTACCCGATCAGCAAGCTTGTCTAGAAACCGAATGCAACTCCTTCATCAGAGAGCTTCCTTACCTAGGAACAGGAGGCGATTACTTGATTAGAAACTTGTCTACAAGCAGGGTGCAATCACTTGACGAGCAAACTTCTCCAGAAACAGAAGCGACTTCTTGAATAGCAAAGCTTGACTGTAAACGGGGAAAGCCTTGTTCAGCAACCTTGTCTGGATACCTATGACGTTACTTGGTCAGAAACTGCTCTACTATAAGGGTGCGGTTAATTCATGAGCAAACTTGCCTGGAAACTAGGGGCAGGTACTTGATCAGCATACGAGTCTAGATACAAGGAAGAACGTATTTCATCAGCAATCTTTTCTAGAAACGAAGAATAAGTCTCTGAAGGAGACCGGAATAAGGAGCCCCGAAAATCCCAACAGAAAAATCGCAAGAGAGTACTGTAACTCTGTCATGACTCTATTCAATTACTTGTCTGATAGAAAACCGGAATGAGCAGGGACTGTGCCGGGGTAAAGCATCACCGCCCAAGAACAGCACAAATACACACCGAAATCTGTCGAGGACACAATCGACCTGGTTGCGCTTTGTACCCAGGCTCTTGCAGAAAACGAGACCACATCATACATCGTTTGCTACTCGAAGTCTGTGTTATGGTAGTGGAAGCATCCACCAGAATCCCCCGTTTCACCCTAAAGCCGAGTTGGTCTTTGTGTTTCACCAAGTTGCGATTGGCACAGAATATTGCAGGGCTCTGCATTAGGTGGTTAGAGGAGCGAGTGAAAGTATAACAGGCGAAGCACTGAATGCCACTGCCGTTGCCTGTCGTAGAATCCTTGCAACGAATCTTGTTGGACTTGCATGCTTGGCAGACTTCCTCGAATCCTTACACTCAGCAAGCGACCATATCCCTACGTCCCACGAAACCATAATAAAAATAAGCAGAACCTTGATGACCAAGCACCTAGACCCGAAAGGCCCAGTTCGCAGGCTTTTGCATTCCACGCATCGCATCCATGACCGTGCTGCGTGTCTGCCCCACAGCCGACCACCTCTGCTTCGATTGTAGAAGTCAAGGGGGCCCATGGACATGTACGGTATATGTCGCAGGAACAATACCGGTCTCTGTCCGTATCTAGCTCTGAGTGAATCGGGCATAAAGTGCCGTTTAAAGTGCCAGAATGGGTCCTGGCATAGGATCCATGTTGGATTAAGGAAGTGCTTATGACATGTATCCTTCAATGGGAGAGAGTTCTACCCAACATTCGTGTGCAGCGATTTCTGGACCCGGGAAAGCTCGAAGATTTTGTTGGCTCAGGATCTGGCTCGCGGCTAGGCTGGGCTGCCCCGACTATTGCTACTTCAAAGCCTACTGCAAGTTCTATCGAGTGACCACAGTCAACGAAGACCGAAAACCAGGCCCGGAAACCTCAACCAGTGGATGACACAATTCATGAAATTCAAGAAATTGCGCCATGGATTCAGCTCAGCCACGTAGCCACCCCAGATGCCACCTCCGAAGCGCCGATCACGGAAGCCTGAGATGGGTGGCCACCGTCACACAGCAACGGGTTCTGCTTCAGCTTTCGCGGGAAAAAGGCGTGCACTGGTGCTTCGACCTCATGCTGCACCTGATCTTTCGATCCCAGCTGAATTCGCAAATGCAAGGCCCTGTAACTTGGAATGGTGGTTTCTCGAATGCCAACCCTGAAAACTTGCAAATCGAATGAGATGATTGAGCTTGCCACATGACTCCCTGTCTCTCACCTTTCCTCGTGCCTTGTCGTCTCCTTCTCTGAGTGTCTCTCTCGTTCGTTCCCTTTGCTTCGTACGCCATCTCCCTACCTCTCTATCTGACTGTGCCTGCTCTTCTCTTGCTACCGCCATCTTTATCTTTATCTCTATCCCGATCTATCCCTGCCTTTCTTCTCTCGCTACCGCTGCATCCTCTGTGTCTCTACAATTCTGTCTCTCTCTCTCTCTCTCTATCTCTCTCTGTGTCCTCCATCTATGTCTCTCTTCTTTTCCATTTTCCTCTGCCTCTATCTTTCGCTCCCTCACTGTCTATCTATCTATCTATCTCTGTCTCGGTCTCTCTACCCCGCTTCTCTCCCTCTACTTGTCCTGCTCCTGTCTCTTTTCATCTCGCTCTGTCTGTGGTCCTCTTTCGTTCTGTTTCCATCTCTATCTGACTAAATGTCCCTGCTGTCTCTATGTCTCCTTCTTGCTCCATCTTGTTGAATGTCCTTCTGTCTCGGGTCTGTCTGGTCCTTTGTGAGTTCCCCTACTTCATCATTCAAGGCAGGGCTCCTTCAGAAAGAGTACACCCAGAGCTTGCGATGATGTCGCCACATGGCGGTCTTGAAATCTGGCGCAGAGCCTAAACGGCGTCTTCAACGGCCGCCCGAGATTCCTGTCCCTGCTGCGCATGGTCGAGCCCGCAAGACTCGATCCTGCACCAATTTATCTAAGCCTATAGCACACCACTCAAGAGAACGATCCCGCACATGAGTAGGCATGTGGGTGCGGAATGGGCATCCGATGATTAGAGTTTAGGGATCGGGAGTCAGCAGCCAACCCCTGGGTTTAGGCTTTGGCCTACTTGTCGGGTATCATGGGGAACTAAAAGTTAACCTTTTTGGTTATATAGGCAGTATATAGGGACTATACAACCCAAAAAAGGTTAAAGGTTACCTACTCTACTACTAGGTTAGGGATTTACCTGAATCCTAGATAGCCTACATTTTCAACGCCTAAACCCTCTTGAACAGATAGGTTTGAGGATCCAGGTAGGGTTGTGGCGGAGGTAAGTGTTAGGGCCTCTTTACTTTCTGGATGTTTAAAGGTGTTCCCCAAACTACATTAGCCTCATAGGGCTTGAGGTTTCGGGCTTACTTTAGAGTGTAGGACTTCGGGTTTCGGTTTCGGGGGATACCAACCCAAATAAGCACCGACTTCATGGCAGTACGGTGCAATTCAGGGCTTGTGAGCCAAACTTAAGGTTTACAGGC